TGTTGAAGCAAAGTACATGAAAAAGATCTTATGGCCCCCGGAAGTGAGAAAGAAACAGGGACTGGTGACTTGGATTTTTTTTTTTTTTAAGTCAATCCTTATTTGGGACAAAAGAAGTGAGTCCCAGGAAAATGAGTGTCTCCTGGGCTTTCTCTTATTTATATCAGGCAGCCTAAACTAAACATTTTGGTGTGTTTGTAAATGCTTGGGTTTCCTATTTCATATTTTCTCCTGTTGGCACCAAAGCTGAAGGGCTCAGAATTTCTCAAACAGGGTTCTTACCCACAGTGATGACTATTATTAACATGTATTGATCTAGAGGATATACAGAAACAGGATTAAGTGCAGATCCGGAGCCCAGGGATTAGGTCTGGCTGGAGAGCAAGCAGAGTGTAAACAGGGGATGTCTGAGTGGTGGGGAGCAGGGGCGCTCATTAGAGGTCTGGGCCAGGGAACAGGGTGGCTTTGTGTCTGTCCTCAAGCCAGGGAGTGGGCCTGAGGCTGGTGAGCATGAGCTGGACTCCCCGTCTTGGTCATGGCTCTCAAGGCCAGAATGCCCCTTCCTGGGGATCCCTAGGGGTGCTGGGCAAGTTCCCAGGATGACATATCCCTCTGCAAGGAGCGTCAGACCAGAGAGAGGAGAGCTTTCTCTTTTGTCGAGCATTTTGCTGAGGAAACCCCAGCTGGTTTCAGACCTGCTCTTCAGAGGAGCAGTTCTCCTCCATGCCAGAAGGATCTGTCTCCCTTGGCTGCCATGGAAAGAATGACTTGTTTCCATACTTCAATCCTCATGCATTGTGTACCCTCCTTTCCACCCCCGCCCACACCCCCCCCCCCNCCCCCCAACAAAATACCTCTTTCAAAATAAGGCCTTGGGAGAACATAAAGCTCTAACTCCCCAGGAGAAAATCCACCATAAGAATTCAGGCTGCCTTAAAAGAGTATAAAATTTTGCCATATGCAGCAACATTATGCTAAGTGGAATAATAAGTGAGACAGAGAAAGACCAATACTGTATAATATCACTTATATGTGGAATATAAAAAATACAAAAAGCCAGTGAATGTAGCAAAAAAAGAAGTGGACTGACAGATATGCAGAACAAACAAGCTGTGGAGAGGGAAGTGAGGAGGGGCAACATAAGTGTGGAGGAGTAGGACATAGAAACTATTGGGTATAAGATAGGCTCAGGGGTGTACTGTACAACACAGGGAATATAGCCAATATTTTATAATAATGCTAAATGGAGTGTAACCTTTAAAAACTGAACCACTATATCGTATACCCATAATATGTAACAGTGTACATCAACTAGACTTCAATTAAAAATTCAAGCTGCAACCCTGCACCATAAGAATTCATTCCACCTGGGTTCCCAGCAGTGAGATGGAAACTGTGGAGTAAGCCATCAGGATGCACCTTTTCTCACTCTGCTCATGAGGCCCAGCTGGAGATGAATCTAGTCTGTCCAGTGTTCCCAGGTTCATAGGTTCATTTGGGGATATCTTCTAGATCAGGGATTCTCAATCTCAGGACTATAGATGTCATCATCTGTATCAGGGACAATGGAGGGGCAGAGCTAGCCCTAGCATTAAGCATAGTGGTTACCATCACAGGCTTTGGAATCGAAGATATGGGATCAAACCCAGCTTTAGTGGTTCAGTCTTCTCGTCTGTAAAATGGGGATAATATCATCCATGTGAGAGAGTACTTGTGAAGAATAAGTATGAAGATACATATATAAGTGGTTGCTTAGCCCAGCGCCTGACACATAGTAAGTGCTAAGTAAGTGGTAGGTTAACCGTTTCCTGTTGTAGGCTTCACAGAAGAGTGTGTGGATGGGGATGTTAGCATTTAGGAAGCATTACTCTATGTTGCATTACCCTATGTTTCACATGCTATAATTGCTTTCATGGATGTAGGTAGAATAGATTCTTCCTTCCTCAGGTGTGGTACCAGCTGTTGATGAGGTGATGCTAATGCCTGGCACAAGAAGCTGAGGGTGGAAGAAATAAATGCCACTTGTCCCTCTTCTTAGATCTGAAACAAAAAGGCTGATATATGCTTTCTTCATTTGTTCTTAACTGATGGTAAGCTTTCACAGTGATTATAGTGTGAGGTCTATAAAGAGAAAATATGAATTTTCCCTTACGCTTAGCCCTTGGATCTTACCAAGTTGCATATCCAGGGTTGGTGCTCAGAATCCAAGTTGACCCCACCCCCGCTCCCAATCACCAACACTTCTTCATAACCTCATCACTCAAAATTCAGCCTCCCAAAGATTGAGCAAGAAATTCTGAATTATTCGCTAAGCAACTCAGGTTAAGGGAGAACTGGTAGAAAAGGTGAGTCAAACTGATGAAGAGACAGGGAGAGAATCATTCTGTGATCCATTCAGCCACAACTTGTTAAGTACCTGCCTGCCAGCCATCGTGCTTGGTGCTGAAGTTGCAAAGATGATCAAACCTTAGCCTCCAACCTCAAAAATGTAATGGCCGTTTCTTGTCTCGGGAACAGGTTAAAAATGTATAAACATTCAACAGGTTGCAAACTTAAGAGTTGAGCGGTTTTTGATTTATTTTATTCCTTAATAGAAAGCTGTTGTTTTGCACAGAATCAAGTAAAGACACAAAACCGGAACAGTCTAAGTGTGAGATGCAGGTATGTCCAGGGCCTTGTGGGAGAACAAGGGGAAGGCAGGATGTGTTTGCGTTCCTGGAGGGATGTGGCGTTCCTCACAGAGGCTCCAGTGTAAGTGGAGCTGTGGAGGAGAGAAACAACATGACATGGACAGGAAACTCTGAAGAACCCTGTGTTGCTGGAGCATAAATTGTGAGTCTGGAAATGATGAGCTTTGAGCTGGAAGAGGGAGGGGAGGACTTCATCTATGAGGTGGGCTTTATCTCATGGGTGATGGGAAGTCCTGGGCGGGTTCCTGTCAAAGCCGGAAGTGGTCAGATGTGCTCGACAGCAGCGTGGAGGCGGGGCTCAAGACCGGGGCCAGTGAGGCCATTGCCATTTTCCAGATGAGAGGTGGGTAAGAGTTTCAACCAAGAAACAAGCTTTGACACATAGTGTGGGCACACACACACACAATTTTCCAACTGAAGATTTTGGTGTATTCTATAGAAAAGCCCGCTTGAGCTTGGTAGACACAAAGGTGGGATTGTCCAAGAGGAACTCATTTCCCTCTAAACATTATTTTTTAGTATCAGGAGATTTCAAGTTATGAGTTCAGTGCTCCTAGGTTAGGTCTAAGCAGCACGTACTTTTAGTCCTTGGCATTTTTCGTTTTTTGGAGACATTTGTGAGGAAGTAATTCTTATCCTTTTGGGGTTTTATTTGCTGCTTGCCTCTTCTCTGAAATATTTTGTTATCTACTCTACTGGCAAGACTCTAGTCTGGGGAGTGAGCACCAAGTATTAGCTCATATTTTCCACCTTTAGTTTCTTACTTCTTTCCTCGTATTATGTGGAAGAAACCCTCAAGCAGCAAAACTGATGAAAAGATTTTATCTCCTCTCCATCACTCCCCATTGACTGATGTGTTTCCTCATGTCCTGTTCCTTTAGAATAGGAGACTGAAAGATCTGCTTCTTCATTCCAGAACAGAGGTTCAGAAAGGCACTGTGGGTACCCTGGACTCTGATGGGGAGGGTAAGCTTGGGACTGCAGATTCAGAACAGCCTTTGTCGCCTGCATACCAGCTGGAAGAGGGGAGGGGATGCACAATGTCATCTATCCAAACTCTCATGCTTCAAAGGAACGTTGATTTCATTGTTCCCAAAGGGAACCAGTAAATAACGAGATATTGTCAGAGGCCCGGGTGTTTCCTGCTGGAGACGAGGATGCTGCCAAGTGTTGGAAGCCTTGGAATCTAGGTCTGTGGGAGCCATTTGTGAGGATGATGGGTTTGGATAAGTGACTTCACCTCTGAAAGATGCATTTCTACTTTGTAGATAATATGAGTGATAAATAAAACCTGTTGTTTGCCCTTATAGGTTGTGTGATGTTGGATGTAGAAATATTTTGGATACTGAGAAGTGCATTTTGGAAGTGATGGTCTGGCAGGAGAATTTTCTCTTAAATATTAAACAAAGCACCACAGAAGCAGCTTTGATGGTAACAAAGGGTTTGAAGAAGTAGAGAAAGTATGCACAGTGCTCCTTTGGCTGGGCAGGAGTATATAATGCTGTCTTGCTAATCTACTACAAGAAGACCTATGACAGATGCTTACAGGCTTCTTTTTGCCTTGCAGCCTACTTTTCTCTCTCCCTCTCTTCCTTTGCAGATTTTTACAAGCTGATTTCCATGCCAGCCAAGGTAGACACCCATTAGAAAGTAGACACTGGGATTTAACATTATAAGAAGGTAGGCACTGGCCTCAGACCCACCACCTGGGTTTGAATCTCAACTCTGCCCTTCACTCCCCGCGGGTACCTAGTAGGTCTCTTCACCTCTCTTGACCTGAGTTTCTTATGCATAGATTGGTTAGGATTCTATTAAGGTCTTTTCCAGCACATGGATTCTGTATCGTCTCAGCTAAGAGTCAGTAATGGGCTTCCCAGGTGGCTCAGTGGTAGAGTCCACCTGTAGGTTCTATCCCTGGGTGGGGAAGATCCACAGGAGAAGGAAATGGCGACCCACTCCAGTATTCTTGCCTGGAAAATCCATGGACGGAGGAGCCTGGCAGGCTACAGTGCACGGGATTACAAAAAGTCCGACACAACTTGGTGACTAAACAGCAAGAGTCCATAATACGTTCCCGGGGCTGAAGAGCCTGGTGTTGCCCAGTGACTGGCTCACCACTGGTGCAGATTCTCCTGTCTGCATGGCAGTTATCAGAAGCTGATGCTGCTCTGCTGAGTTCTCTGGTTTTGTGTCCTCACAGTGGTGTGGAGACTGGGTATGCCGCTGTGGCCGCTGGCTGGCCCAGGTTGCCCAGGATACAGGAATGTGCTGGGTGCAGACAGATATTGTGTTTTCCTTCAGTCTTAATTCTGGGAAAGCAGCAAGGGAAGAGGCTGGGGAGGGGAGTGGTCATGCTCCACAGGCACCTGAGGTGAGGGGGTGGAAAGAGGGTCACTTGTTAAAGGCCACCGCTGAGACCTGCAGAGGGTTGAGCATTACCCCGAGGGTGGGTCCCGTTTCCATTTTAGAGCAGAAGTAAACTCTCCAGGCCCTGTTGTAGTTGGCTAATGGCGATCCCCAAACCACAGGCTCCAGAGATATGAGCCAGCGTTCCAGGAAAAGCCACCCACGGGAGCAGGGAGGACAGAGGGAGAGAATCCAGAGCAAGGGCATGTTTGGGGCTGATTGCTTCAAACAGACGGTAACTGCGTCCTCCAGCTCAGGGTTCATGGGTCACGCCTCCAGCACAGTCCAGTCCACGTCCACGGATGCTTACTTGGCAGAGTTAAGCTTGTGCTCCCCAAAGTTTTCCAGGAAAAGCCACCCACGGGAGCAGGGAGGACAGAGGGAGAGAATCCAGAGCAAGGGCATGTTTGGGGCTGATTGCTTCAAACAGACGGTAATTGCGTCCTCCAGCTCAGGGTTCATGGGTCACGCCTCCAGCACAGTCCAGTCCACGTCCACGGATGCTTACTTGGCAGAGTTAAGCTTGTGCTCCCCAAAGTCAACATCCAGAGAACCTAGGGAGCTGTGGGGTCACTGTGCAGTTCTTCATTCTTTTTTTTTTTTTTTCTAGTTCAGAAAGACCAGCCCACCACTTAGGAGCCTTGGTTTGGCTGGCTCTCCAAACCCCTGGTCAGATGGCTATCTTTCAACTAAAATACAGGGTTAGTTGAATTTTCTTCCAAATTTCATTTCAAACAATTATCTTGGCATGTTATCTGTAATATCCCTTTTGGAGAGTTTTTCCATATTAAAAAAAATTCCTCATACCTTGCGAATACATGGATTGAGAATAAAGCCTCAAGTGCGTCAAGATACATGAAGACTTGAGTGACTCCTGAGCTGTTCTGACTGCGGCTCACAGGAGTGTACAACAACAAAGGAAAAGAGTAGAAAGATGCCCATCTGGACCTCGTTGGTAGCAAAATCGGAGCTATCTTCCTTGCCTTCAGGTCAGGTCATACTTGAATCTTTAGACCCTGCGGCCCTCCGATACATACACACATACTCAGAGAGACAAAATACACATTTGTAGGCAATAATGCACACACCCACTCTCCTCCTCCCTGGAAGTCACATACAGAAACTACACATTTGTATGCGATATTGCACACCCTTCCCCCAAACACACAGCAATTAGGAGTTGAATTCCCCAGTCTGCTGAGCTGGACTTAGAGACTCTTAGAGCAAAAGGGACTCTTGAGAAGAAAAAAGGAATTCCACTCTGGTGAGGTTAAGACTGCAGTCCTTAAAAGTGAGGTGGTTTCACCGAGACTGCTTTAGAAAGGGACCAGTCCTGACGCTCCCAGAGGGGAATTGGGTGAAATACCCTGGGGAATGGGTCCAGGAGCCTTGAAGTTCCGAGCAAGCACTGGGATTGGGTGACGCGCTGGGCTTCATCTTCTGCGCATCCCCACCTGCCCTATCACTCCCACCGCCCCGGGGCCCTGCACTTTGCTCTATTCTCCACCCATCTCTGAAAACCTTCCATCTCCAAGGCGACTTCAAAGCCCCCTGGGAAAGCCAAGTTGCCAATTAAGCTTCTTTGAGGCAGGTTCTCATTCCTTCCCCCACTAATTGAAATGTTACTCCTTTTACTAAACCCCTAAACCACCCAAACACAACGGTCTTCCTCATTTGCATTGTAACAACGTCCCTAATATGCTTCCAAGAGCCCTCCGTTAAGGGGACCTTCCCTCTCCTCCAGGCATGAGCGGTATGAAAGCAAAGGCCTTCATTTCCATCCGTATACAGCTGCTCATTAGCTAAGGTGGAAGAAATTCCTTTTATTCTGGATTCATTTCCCAGGATGACCATGTCTTTTTCTTTTTGTCTCAGGTCACTGTTCCCAAACTAGGCTTTAATTGCTGATAGTGATTGAGTTAATACATATTTACAGCCTGGTAAGGTTAAAGAAGGTCTCCTGTAGTTTTATTTGAGACATTTTATTTAGCCTGCCATAAAATCATTAACAAGTTGTTCAGTGTTAATTCTCTGTCCTTTATCTTGTCTCTGCCTCTTAGGAAAATTGGGTGCAGGCAGGTGGCTTTGGGGCAGGCTGGATTCTCAGGCAGGGTGGACCCTGGGGCCCCAGACCTCACCTCCAGATCCTTCTCCGTTCAGAGAGGGGTGCCTCTCCTTGATAGCAGCAGATAGCCCAAGGCAACACTGTGCTCTCCCAGGCACCCAGCCAAGAGGCGCAGGCGGGTGATGAAATCCCATCAAAGCCACAGGGCTGGGCCAGGCTCCTGAATTAGCTCCCACCAGTAACTCGAGCCCCAAGTGGCCCACAGGCTGGGCACTGAGCCGAGGTGTCAGGCCGGGCGACGGCCTGGCCACTGGAGCCCGCCCAGAAAGAGGGACTGAAAAACCAGGCAGGAGGGGGTGCCGAGGGCCAAGGGCAATGCCAGGGGAAGCCAGGGGTTTTCCAAACTTTACCCTGGGAGGCCTGAGGGCTGCCTGTGAAAAGTCAGTCTTGTTGCCGTCCTTCTCTCTCCTTCCCATAAGCAGCTGGAGCACCATGGAGGCCCTCTTCACCGTGGGGTTCCAGGACTCTCTATCCCTTCGGAGCGTAATTGGCTTACCAAAAATGAAGCTGGCTGAGTCAGCCGCGTGTCTGCCTGCCCCCGAGTGCTGCTCCCAGGTTCCTGACACTTCTTTCCTCTCCCCCTTGCCTTGCCTGGGCCTCTGGCTACTTTTGTCTCTGATCCATCCCTGAGGAGTGGATCAGACTGTGGCAGAGGCTGGCATTCCCCTAAAATCATGTTGCCATATGTTTTCTGGCCACACATCTCTATTTTCCAGCTCCCCTAGTAGTAGACACAGTGAAGGGAAGTGACAAGGGCCAGCTCCGTGCTCTTCGTCCTGTCTGGCTGCCTGGAGTGGAGATGATCCTCTGGGCAGCTTTTAAAGCTAAATGTTAAAAATGGCAGCTCAAAAATGTAAATGATGGGTGGAGGGTGGCTGTCCCACCCATCCTATGTACAAGCGTGAAATCAGTGTCTGTGGGGTGTAAACCACTGTACGCTATGGGGGCTATTTGTTACAGCAGGGAATTCACTACTCAGTCTGAGACTGTTATGCAATACTATGAACTGCGGGGGCTGGCTGCCTTTACCTAGAATGTTCATCCAGTGACTTTCTCATGCCTCCCTTTAGACATAGGTCAAATTCCAGCCCTTCTGAGGAGCCTTCCAGTGGGCAGGGGAAACACAAACGTAGCTTTATCCACCATGGACACCAGCAGAAGTCGCCTTTGCTCACCTCTAGGCAGGTTGAGCCAAGCAGGAACATGGGACATGGCCCACTGGGCGAGATTTAGAAACAGCCGGAGGGCCAAAATCCTCTAAACCAAAGAATGCTCCTCTGAGACTCAGACGTCATCATTCTTTACTTCTGAAATCCGGTTCAAGAGACCTGGATAAGGAGAATAACTACTGAGCTGGTTTTTTGGGTGATTCAGAAAGCTGGAGCTAAATGGGCCCCTAGAAATCATCTGATCCTGCCCATTCCCTTACATATGAAGAGACTGGGACCCAGAGTGGAGACAGAAGCAGCAGCTGGCCTCCTGACTCTCACCCTGCTGCTCCTTAATTGTGCTTTTTAAGCAAGGCAGGTAACACATTGTTGTCAAGTCTCCCATTGCAGCCCCTGGTCCAGGCTCAGAATTATTTGCTCATTTATATATATATATATTTATTTGTCAGCATTGGGTCTTTGTTGTAGCATGCAGGATCTTTCAGTTGTATCACGTGAACACTTAGTTGTGGCATATAGGATCAGTTCCCCGACCAGGGATCAAACCCAGGCCCCCCACATTGGGAGGGCAGAGTCTTAGCCACTGGACCACCAGGGAAGTCTCAGAATTATTTGTTTTTTCCAACTCTCCAAGATGTGTTTCAGCCCAGCCTGTTTCAGTGTTCTCAAACACTGACCATGCTGCCTTCCATCTGAGCATTTCAGGTCCAAGTTCTCAGTGCTGACTTCCAGCTAGAGCAGGACGGGCAGTACCAATGCTTCCAAGGTTAACTGTTCAACAGCCCGGAGGATGGACGTGGCCCATTCATGAAACATAGACCTATCCCTTTGCTCTATAGTGAGGGGTTGGGACAGGCAGGAGATGCGACAGCACTAAACTTGTTTCCTGTTTCTTTGTCTTGCCCTTCTCTTCATGGAAGGAAGAGTCCTTGAGGAAGACCCACCCTCATTCTACAGAGAAAGGAACTGAGGCTCAGAAAGTTCTGCTGGTGAGCTCGAGGCCTCTGCAAGATGCCTTACTTCTGATCTCCCCTGTGGAGTCCTCGGTCAGAGTGAGAAGTTTCTACGTATCACCTTCTAAGTCACGAATGAAAGTAACACTAGGGTATAGTTTAGTATATATTTTGGAATTTAAATCTGAATCAACCAAAATTTCTCTTATGATTTCCCCAAAGTACAGATTTATTTTCCAGTATTCATTTCTTAGAGTCTAAAGGACCTGTGGGTCAAAACCTGACATCTGACTCAACCTAGGGGTTGATGTAGGTTTCCACAGTGCAGTTCCATCCTGTCAGCATTTTTCTTGATTGTTGGAGCTGGTTCAAAACCCATGTTTCTGCCCTCACATCCTTCCTTTCGGGAAACTGCAGGGAGAATTAGAGTTCTGGATGCTTGGCTCAGGGAGGTCCCTTAAGGTTCATATAATCCAAAACTCTCCTATTTGGGTGGACCACAGGCCCATAGTGAACTGGTGACAGGCCTGGCCTGGTGTCCCGACTCTTCAGCACGAAACACTTTACGGGGACACATGGAAGGGAACCCCGGTTGGTTAGTGCCTCTGTAAAGTAAAGAGGGGACAGCATTTTTTTTCCAGTCCCATAGCCTGGATCAAGGAGGAGTCCGTTGTCTTTTGGGAAAGATGTTATTAAATACCTATCACCCCGTCTATACCTCATTTATGAAGTTGTCACTTTTTGGATTACTGATGCCTATTTTCTTCTAGGATGGGTCCCTTCATCTTTCCTATTGATCACTCTGCTTTGTCAGGGTTCTTTTTCAGTACGGTGAGTGTGTATGCAGGGAACAGGGAGGCAGTGGTGTGGGTGGGCTGATAGTCTCTCAGACGCTGAAGCTGGGGGAGGGAAAGGGGGTGCTTGACAAGATTAGGGTCAGGGGTGCCCTCCAAGAGCCATTCCTCAGTTTTTATTGTATGTTTAGTGTAATGAAGGAACATTGCTTCATATATGCATACTTTACAATTCATTAGGTGCATTTTCCATTTGGTATCTTTTTAAATTCCTTGAAAAAAATCTTTGGGAAACAGAGACCTGGAGAGGAAGAGCTGGCATGCTGTGGACTCTACAATCCTCTAGGCAGTGTGCTTCTTATGTTCACGTGTATACAAGGAATCTCCTTCTATCCCCAAAACACTATGAGACGAGCAATCATACTGTAATTGTCATGGTGAGGACATCTGTGTTCAGAGTGACGACTTGTCTGGGTGCTCCCAGCTAGTAAGTGGCACAGGCAGGATTTGAATTCAGATCTCTGTGAGTGAAGGCTACATTCTTTCTACAGCATTGATCTGCCTCCCTAAGAATGTGGAACTGTTAGCAAAGAGAAGCAACCAACCCAATCTGACTCTTGAAAAAAAAAGGTTCTGTAAGTCACTTCACGACAAATAGATGGGAAACTATGGAAACAGTGACAGATTTTATTTTGGGGCTCCAAAATCGCTGCAGACGGTGACTGCAACCATGAAATTAAAAGACACTTGCTCCTTGGAAGAAAAGTTATGACCAACCTAGACAGCATATTAAAAAGCAAAGACATTACTTTGCTAACAAAGGTCTGTCTAGTTAAAGCTATGGTTTTTCCAGTGGTCATGTATGGATGTGAGGGTTGGACTATAAAGAAAGCTGAGCACCAAAAAATTGATGTTTTTGAACTGTGGTGTTGGAGAATACTCTTGAGAGTCCCTCAAACTGCAAGGAAATCCAACCAGTCCATCCTAAAGGATATCAGTCCTGAATGTTCATTGGAAGGACTGATATTGAAGCTGGAATTCCAATACTTTGGCCTCCTGATGCGAAGAACTGACACATTGGAAAAGACTCTGATGCTGGGAAAGATTGAAGACGGGAGGAGAAGAGAACGACAGAGGATGAGATGGTTGGATGGCATCACCGACTCAATCAATGGACATGAGTTTGAGTAAACTCCGGGAGTTGGTGATGAACAGGGAAGCCTGGCGTGCTGCAGTCCATGGGGTCACAAAGAGTCAGACACGACTGACCAACTGAACTGACTGAAGTCTCAGAGAGGCAAGGAATATAATACTTTCTAACCACAACATTGGGACTAAAGTTGCAAGCTGCGCTAAGTGAAGCGGTGTTTTCCAGGACACCATACCGCCTCAGGAGACCAGACACTAGTTGGGAGCCATGCTCGACACTTGTGTCCCAACAGGGAATGGCTCAGAATAAGCCCACAGGTGAGGACTCGACTGGGTGGTCTGAAAGGGGAAGATTGGAAAAGCTGAGACGCAGGATCTGAGTCTAGAATGTCATCCAGTCTGTTAAAATTGTCTTTGCCGTGGGCCATGGATCTGCTTGGACCATCTATTAAAACCTGTTGTGGTCTGGAAATAAGAAAAGTCAATTGTAGACAAATATTTTGCAGCCTCTGCATTTACTTAACAAAGGTGGGGCTCTCTTCCCTTGGAGGATGAAGCTGGAGCTGGTCTAATCGCTGGTCAGATCTTCTCCTCACAATGGTATGAGTGGGAGCCTCTCCCTTCCATGTTACCTCCCAAAGGAACGGGATAAACACCCTTGTAAGACAGTGGTCTCATTTTGTGGACGTGAATTCAATGGCTCACAGCTCCATTCTACTCATCTTGGCTCCGGCTTAAGTTTTAAAAACTAATTCTCTCTGCATTAATCTGAAAAGATCCTTCAAACAAAAGCTCAACATCTGAGTCTATTTACCGAGTGTGCAGCTGTGTCAATTGGGCCAAGACAAAGCGAGGCTTCCTGGTCAGCCCACAATGGGCTGCAGGTAGTCCTGCAAACAGAGGAGCACAAGGCACTGTCCTTTCAGGAGCCAGCAACCCTCCTTCCAACTGGGAGGAGCTGGAGCTTAGGGGTCAAGAGAAAGGGAGTGCTGCCCCACCCCCACCGTCACCACACTCACAAGTGGGGACTGGAGGATATGATCTGTAAGCCCATCAATTAGGGCTATTAAAAAGGTAATTAGCCCTCTACCATGGAAACCAAGGACAGAGATGTGAAAAGGGGAAATTCATTTCCACGTGGTTACATTTTGATGTGACCAGTGCACTTTCTCAAGGAAGTGAGAAGCTATTGTTGAGAATATCACTTAGTCGGTCATGATGGGAAGGTGATATCGAGTCAGTTTTAAAGTTATCTAACAATTAAAATAATAACTTCTTTATTCTTGAAAAAAAATTTTTTTTTTCTGCTCTCAAACACTAGATTCAAGTCAAGTGGCCAGAGTTAGGAGGCCAGGGAGGAGTTGAGTTATTTCCTTTCTAGTTTCCTCTCCTGAAGAGGACTGTGGCAGGAAATGACATCTGAAAATGTCAACAATGAACAATTTGTCTTGGATTCTAATAAGTGTGAAATTCAGAATTAGTGTTCCCTCTCTTGTCAAACATGTGGGGGTATTTTGGTAATAAAGCCCGAGAGAGCAGAAAACGAATAGAGGAAAGCCCTTTCTCATAATGAGATTTGAAGATACCTATTGAAATGGATCTAAAGTATACAGTACTCTTTTGCAACACTTGTCAAGTTCACAGTGAACTTAGGACCTACACAAATTTACATTTTCTCTCTCTGTGTGTGCGTGCTTTCAGGTAAAGGATAATTTAATTTAGCTTTGTTTTCCTCTACCATCTCATTCTCTCCTTCTTTTTCACTTCCCCTTCCCACTTTATTGAGGCCAAGTATACATGCAGGGAGATGCACAGATCTTAAGTGTCCAGTTGGATGTTTCACATCTTGTTAACCCACACAACAATCAAGATATACAATATTCCCACCACTTCAGAAGTTTCCTGCTCCCATCTAGTCAATAACCACCTGCCAGGCAATCACTGTTTTAATTTTTATTACTATGTATTAGTTTTGCTGTTCTTGAATTCCATATCAAAGATATCATATGGTATAAATTCTTTTTGTACGCCATCTTTCACTCAAAATAGTATTTTTGAGGTTCATCTGTGAGGTGATGGAGTATTATCTGTTTATTCTCTTTTATGTATAAGTAGTATTCCATTGTATAACACCACCACAATGGACCCATTCTTATCTTGATCACATCTCAGTTGTTTCCATTTGGAGCTGTTATGAAATAAGCTACTGTAAACTTTCTTGCATAAGATTTTTTGTGGACATATGTTTTTATTTCTCCTGGACAATTACCTAGAAGTGAATCATAAGTTAGGTGTATTTTTAATTTTACAAGAAACTAGAAACCTACCAATTTTCTAAAGTGGTTGTAAAATCTTATGCTTCCAGAAGAAAGGTATGAGAAGTTTCAGTAATTCTATCTCCTTACAAACATTGGATGTTGTCAGTCTTTTTTTCTTCTTTTTTTAATTGAAGTATAGTTGATTTAAAAAGTTTCTATTGTTAGTCTTTTTTAGCATAAGCTGTTCTAATGGGTATGAAGTGCTAATCTCATTGTGGTGTTAATTTGCTTTTTTCTTTTCTTGTCATTATTATCATTTGCATATCTTTTTTCTTGCCATTTCTATTTAAGTACTTTGCTTATTATTTATTGGCTTTTCTCCTTATTAATTTGTAGGTATTCTTTATATATTCTGGATAAAAGTCTCTTCTAAAATATAGGTATAGCAAATATTTTCTATTGGTCTATGACTTTTATTTTCTTAACTGCAACTTTTTGATATGAAAAATTTTATTATTTTGATGAAATCCAATTTTTCAACTTTTGTCTTTATGATCAGTGCTTTTGCTATCCCATCTACGACACCTTTGCCTAACCCAAGACTGTGAAGGCATTTCTCTATGCTTTTTTATAGCAGTTCTACAATTTTAGCTTTTGTGATTAACTCTACAGTTCATCTCAGATTAGTTTTTTGTGTATGGTGTGAGGTAAGGGTTGAGGTTTATTTTTTTTCTAAGCATTTATCCAGTAGTTCCAGCATCATTTAATGAAGACTTGCTCCACCCAATTTCTCTGATGCCTTTGTCATAGATTGATTGACTGTATATGTGTGGCT